ATCATCAGTGATGTTACCAGCTGCATAAGGTGAATGAAATACATGTACATGTAACTTTTTGACATTTAGATTATTTAATAAAAACATGAACTGGGAAATCTCCCACCATGTTTTCTGTTATTATTATTGACCTGAAAGAATTATTGTACCTTTAGAATATAATTATTTCCGTATTTCTGTGTAAATTTGATTTGTATGTTTTAGGGTCGATTATGTACTTTGGGGGGGGGGGATTATTGCAGCTACTTTCTTAGTTTTATTTAGTGATATATGTATATATTATTAATTTATTTTTAATGACATTATTGAATATAATTATTTCTGTACATGTATTGCAACATTAATATTCATTATGTAATATTTTTATTTATTTATAACATTTGATTCATTTGTATATTCATTATAGGGTTTTTGCTTGATGCAATAAATAGAACATCTACAGTCATCGTACTGAAGTCACCTATTGTTTTTAATTTATTTATTTTCCACCTTCATCGGTCACATTGTGAAACAATGGACATACTTCTCCAGGGTATCAAGGGTAGTTTTGATTATTAGAAGAGGGAAACTGCTGCTTTATGGAAGAGCACGTTTCAATGTCATTGGCCACAGTAATTCTAAATCGATGTTGGTTTTAATTGGTGTTATCTGGTGTAGAAGTAATAACATTACGATGTTTTCGAGTTTAATAGTAAATTATTAATATTAAGAAATTAATAGTAAATGGTAGACTCCCTTTTGAATAACATCAACCAGTCTAACCTGGTTGACAACAATGAAATTCTAACAGCAAGGTAATTAGCACAAATTAATAAAAATATACAAACATCATTTATATCAACTTGGAAAAGTGAATTACAAAACGACAATCAATCAAAACAAAATGAAATATAAATAAATTAAGAACATACAGAGAATTACAAAAAAACAATTTTGCTTTTGAAACCTATCTTGTTACCCTGCAAAATATTGAGATGCGCGAAAATTTAAATAATTCCGCCTCAGTGACCATAACTTGAAAACTGAGACTGACAGACACAGCGGAATACCCGTTGCTAATAGATTACCGGGGTATGTAACCTTTGTGATCAGAATCAAGTAGAAAAGGAGTATCACCTAATGATGTCATGCAAAAGTTATACCCCCCATAGAAATGTCTTATTTGAAATGGCAAAAACCAAAATTTGTCACCAAAGACACAATTCATAGTCTTGTATTTCACTTTGATGTGGGAATTGGTGACAAAGGTCAAAAGAAATTTGGGGGAATACAAAAACGTAACTTACTGCACCTGAATTTCACAATGAAGTTTTAAACATTCTGGTTATCTCCGTGAGACAGTAACCTGTGAAACAAAATTGAGGGACTCTAAAAACGCAATGTATGGCACGAAAAAGACGCAATGTAATGCAAGTAATGCAATATCACGACAAATGTTTCGAATGTTCGCCCATTCTTCCATGTTTATTTCGCGATATGAATGATTCAGCAGAGCGCTTAGATAGGTTATTTATTAGAGGCGTCCGGGTAATCAAAATTTAGCGTGAATGGCTTTCCAAGCAAAAAATTTTGGGGGTAAAAAAAAAGAATCTATTTTTGCCCATTCATCCATTTTTGGGAATATATATCATTTAATCAGCCCAGCGGTAGTGTAGTTTATTTATTAGAGACGCCAGGGAACCAAAATTTGAAACGTGAATTATTTGGACGACAATTATAACCAAGAGGTGAGAGACTACTTACCACAGTGACATGCAGCTACAGTGACTGCGACCCCAATCATATTTTAATTTTAGTATGCTAGGGTAAAACCTGTGCTTATGCTATGAGAAATTTTAGTGGAAATACATTTTTGCTTATCATGGCGAACGCAATTTAATGGGAGTGAATTGCCCTACTAATTTCCCTAGTTGTATCAAAGACAGTACAATATACTACTAACTGTCTATGGTTGTATGCAGTGTCCAATATGGCGACCAAGGGCAAAAATATTCTTATGCAAATCAGATTTAGTTGAAAATTTGAGTTTTCTTGACAATAGGTACAGGGGGTACATGAATTTGAACCAAAATGTTATACGACAGCGACAGCCACTGAAACGTTATTTCACACGGCAAATGAACACGTCAGGCAAAAAAGACTGTTTCGAGTCCTGGCGTAAAATGAGGCACATACCATTTTGACGCTTTAGGGGAATGGAAATCAGTTGATTTGAGGGTGTCACAATAAGCAAGAGAGTAAATCGTTTTTTATGCTACGAAAAAATGCAGACCTTGAACGTACTTTTTGGACTTTATTACTACGTCATTTTTGTTTGATTACCTAACGTTTTTAGGTTACAGAGCACATACCAAAGCAGCCGTCCCTCAGCAAATAATGAAGCAAAGAAATGTTTGATGTCGAAATCGCGAAACTCGCAACTTTACGAAAACTGTGAAGTTCGAATTACTAAATGAAGTACAGGACGACGAAGCTTAGATATCCAAGAACCAACACATACTAACCGGAACACAAGTTGGAATTCATTAGTACTCTAAGTATCCAAATACATTTTAGTATAAGGTAGTAATTACTAACAAATTCTCACTTCTGGTCCGGTTAGAGGTAAAATACACCACGAATATTCACTTTCGAGATTTTTGGTATGTGTTGGTTCTTGGATATTTCAGCTTTGTCGTCCTGTACCGTACTTCATTTAGTGATTCGAACTTCCCAGATTGTGTCAAATTGGAGAGTTTCTTGATTTCGATATCGAAACCGCCTTGGCTTAATTATTTGCTGGGGGGGGGGGCTTAGGTACGTGCTCTGCAACTTGCAGCACATGAACCTAAACATGTTAGGTAATCAAATTCACGGGAAGTTGACAATCCCTAATACTGCTAAATTGCCAGTTGTGAATTTTATCAGGATTCCCGTATAAAGTTACACATCATTCTAGCAAGGAAAAATATTGATTACTGTTGTGCAGGTTATATAATAAAATATGAAATAATTAATATTTCGTTTTTGTTAGTATATCTTTATTTATTAAAATATGTACACATTATATCTACTTGGGGTAGGTATTGCCAAGCAAGTTTATAAAATTACAGTGTTCTCCCCAGCATTCAATTTGTGTGCGGGGCCGCCACGCTGCTTTGCCTGCCCACCACTGTGGTCTCGAGCCGCCACGGTGATTAGTAAGACCGCCACAGTGCTTTTTTCATTGTTCATCCTGTGAACTGTATTACGAAATATAGAAAGAAATACGTAGCTATCAGGGATCTTGCCACGCTTCCGACCAGGAATATTGTCGGACGTACCGACCGACACGCATCCTGCCAGTCGTGGATTATAATTTGTAAACAATAGACGTAGTCGCACGATGTGGTAGTGGCTTATAAACAATACAAGTTAATTTTGTAAAATTAGCACCTCTTTGTTCGTAAGTAAATACTTTAACGATCGACGCAGTCTTTAGATTGAAAGCTAACATTTTTTCAAAATCAATTCCACCCCGATATAACA